GAGGTGATATGATCACTATGCACAAAATAGTAACAGGAATTGATAAGGAAGATTTCCTGAGACCTGGAACTTCAATAACAAGAGGTCATATATTTAAACTAACTAAACAAAGATGCAGAAGAAATATAAGAAAATTCACTTTTGCAAACAGAGTGGTAGACGGTTGGAACAAGTTAAGTGAGAAGGTGGTGGAGGCCAAAGCCGTCGGTAGATTCAAATCTTTATATGACAAAGAGTGCTGGGTAGATGGGACACCACAAGCGTAGCTCTCATCCTGTAACTACACTTGGGTAATTACACACACAGGTCATCTTTTATTTCTTCATAATTTCATATTCAACTTACAAAACCCATATGTATTAACAACATATTGTTTTACTCTTCAAATCTTCATAATATATATTCCACAGACTTACCTCTCAAAATACAGTACAGGTATTTGCATTTATTTCTTCATAAAAAAACATTTTACAGTACTTTATAATACTGTATTTGCTTCTGCTTCTATCCTTATTTCAAATATGAGAATTTAAGTTTCTCTTTAATTTTCAAACAGTCTGTTAATGTTTAATTTTTTTTGCTTTTCACATCCATGTTTATCATGCCAGATTGATTTCTTTGTACTTCTGTTCATCTAAGTTCATATTCTGGCATTTGGATCCTAAATTATCTATCCCATTAAAGTAATATTGAGTATTATATCCCCTTTTGTTATGGGAACAATGGGCAGAATTTCTTTCACCCTATGCCCCTGTTACCTAGCAGTAAAATAGGTACCTGGGTGTTAGTCAGCTGTCACGGGCTGCTTCCTGGGGGTGGAGGCCTGGTCGAGGACCGGGCCGCAGGGACACTAAAGCCTCGAAATCATCTCAAGATAACCTCAAGATAACAGTACCGAAGCTTGAAACAAAAATATTATTTGTATTCACTATTAATGGCAATTATAGGATTAAATACTCTCTAGCTTTTTTTTTTTCTGGGGGGGGGGGAGGGCCGGCCTTAGTATAACAAAGCAATCAGCATTTGACAGTTCTTATTGGAAAAGATTACTTAGAAGTGTTTTAAATTTGTGACATAATGCTATACTATTAAAAAAATATAATTGAACTTTGCACCACCTTGTGATAATTACTTAAATAATTCCTATGACTTTGAATAGACCATCAGTCCATGTATATGTATAATATATTTTGATAATTGTAATGCCCCAGTGGGCACAGTATCCAGGAAAAGCATCGGTTCGAAGCTAAATCAATGTTGAATTGTCGCTAATGGCACCACTCTTTGATATAGTGCCCACTGGGAATGTTTTCTGCTATGAGCCTATAGAGCACATCATTATTAGAACATAAAGAGTTTTTTAGGAAATATTGAGGTTGTGTGAAGGGCCCCAATGCATAGCCTAAATATTTTTTGTCTATAATACAGCCTCCTAAATTATAGTTTTATGTACACACAATTTAAGGTTTGCAGATATTTTCCCTTTATTCAGTTCCACACTGGGTGGCATCTTTATTGATATTTTGTATTATACCTGGAAATTGTTTGAATGATGCCCCATTATATATTTTATCCAGAAATAGTAATGCCAATTTTCCAACATTAAATGTTTGTGATATATTCAAATCTCATTTCAAACATTCCAGATTTTCTACTTCAGGAATATTCTGTATGAAAATGTAAATAATTACTTTCCTATTTATAATTATGGATACAGTATACATCTTATTAAATATAATGAGATGTACTGTATTATTATTATTGATGCAATTTTTCAAATTAATGCACCACAAATCAAGAAATACTGTGCTGTCTCGCCAACAGTACTTGTAAGATACGTGTGTCCTCCTTTGTATCATGTAGATTTGTTACATTTAACCTTGAGAAATGTTTGTCATACTTAACTTATAATCTTATCATGAAACCAAAAGTCAAGTTATAAAATTATACAAAAACTCACCTACATTGCAAGACTTTAGAAAGTTACAGATAACCAAACGAGGAGTCACAATGTCGTCCCTTCACTTTCTAGTGTGTGGTTTGGTCAACCAAAGCTTACTTTTATCTTCCAATAAGATAAAGTAAGCTTTACATTATATGTAATTGTTGTAAGGATGTTCTTATATGACTAGTCATTTCACTTTTTATACTCAAAACAAGTGACCATTCTTGTATACTTACAATCATTCTCAAAATGTGATTATATTGATATACAAAAATATATTTGTTTATATTCACTTGTATGATTTATTAACTTTTTTTGCCATTTCTATTTTTAAATTACTTTAGGATGTAGTGTATATGTACATAAGCTTTTTAGAGGTTCCTCCACAGTTCAAACTAATGATGTATGATTCCCAGTCAAGAGATAATCTCTCTCCTGGCGTATCTGGGTTATTCGAATCCCAATAGTTTAGGCACTTTATCATGTCTGTGCGTGTCATACATGTTCTCTGTATTCCCTCTTATTTCAGCACTCACTCCTGAATGAGATTGCAAAGGGAGGAGTGAGTATGGAGCAGTACTCAAGGCTCCAGGACAAGGTGTAGTTGGAATGGACTAGTTGAAGTTAAGAGAAGGTGTGGTGAGGGTGGCCAGGGTGTGGTGAGGACAGGGAGTATTGGGGATGAACAGTGTGGTGGGGAAGGACAGTGTAATTGGTGAGGACAGGATGTAATGGGAAAAGTACAGGGTGTAGTAATGGAAGTGTAGTGGGAATGGACAGGGTGAAGTGAGGATAGGGAGTATTGGGGATGAACAGTGTGGGAAATATTTATTTCAGTACCATAACTTTTAATTTAAAATACTAAAACCTTTGAGAGAAACTGTTCAGGTGTACTTTTACAAATTAACACATAATTTATGAGTGTATAGTTGTGCAGGACAATGCTGACCCGTGGGGGATGGGCAACATCAGCCTGGCTCTTGCGTCAGACACCATGAAACGCAATTGGGAGACAATTTATCTCCAATTATTCAGTACAAAGTACAGTATATGATTAAAATAAAATTATCTAGTGCTTAGAGATTTAATTGAAATTATATTGTTAATTCAAGTTCATAAACAGGTAAGAGCCTTAAACTCTAAATAAGTAATACAAAAGATTCTCCCTCACTGGAGGTAGAGTGAGGAGGAAAGCAGAGATATACAATATACTCTCGAAAGGACACGAGACTTGTCCAGGATCAGCCATCACAAGTTCTGATGTCTGCGACTGCAAAATCTGGTCGTGCCCACCTCACTGCAGTTGTAGCCAAGCAACACTTACTTTTTCTTGTTGCATAGATAGTGTGGCAGTACAAAATACATATATGGGGTAACTCAAGGGAGTGGATGAGTGCAGTTACGAGGCAAGAAACATATCTTGCATAAGAATATACAGTACTTAAATTAATATGGTCATAAATGTTTACACGAGGTAATTTTGATAAATTAAATGTAAATTTGACTGTACTCTAATAACAACCTTGCCAGAAGGTTGTGTAGATTCTATCAGGACACAGAAGCAGTCATATTGTTGACCACATGTTGAGGCCTGTTCCCTCCATCTACCAGCTAAGCATCTAAATTACTAACTATAATTTAGACAGTCCAGTGACTACAAATAAATTAAGTTTGAAAAAGAGAAATAAACCTAATATCTAAATCAAACCTGAGCCTAAGCTGATCAACAAACTGGACAGTCAAAATATTAATTAACGAAGTTAAACTAATTCAAGGTTGGTTCGAGAGCCAAATCAAATAAAACTTCATATACTCTACTTTAACAAACAAAATTGTCTCATAAGGTGTAGTGAGGATGGACAGGGTATAGCGAAGGTGAAAAGGGAGGGGTTTGCTAACTACAAGTATTTTTCAAGCTCTGGTCATGAATTTGATCCCTCAAGTGACGAGTCTGATTCGGAAACGGACAGCAAGACTGAGGAACCATTTGTGCATGTTGGTGCCATGATTGGCAGTGGGAGGTATTGTGCTTGCTACAACACACTCTGCAATGAACACGAGGATAAATCAATTTAAAATTAATCCTCAAATTCGCGACCGCCAAACAAGTAGTAATGATGCTGGAATTCCCAGTGGTGGTGAAGATGGTGATGCTAGCGGAATGAGAGAAGTGTCACCTCACCACCATCTAAAGTTTTGTAGGGTTTCTATGGAGAATGTATTGTGTGTTTTCTGACGGGTTCATGGCCATGCCATTTGTTGAAACAACTTTAGTACCTTATTCTGCTGCACAAGTCCATGTAGTGCACTCAACACGCGTTGCCACTGCATGGAGTTCTGGTGAAGGTTTTCAACCTTCAAGTGCTCAATTTTGACCATTCAAACACCGTGATCAATTTCTTTGTCATTTATGACAATATGCAATTGCTACTTGCAAGTAATGGTCATGGCATAAAATTGCATGAACTCCACAATACCTATATTGATTATGCTCATATGGTTGTAATGAAGTATACCAGGTCAACCAATCCTTTAAATAATAGTAAAGGAACTACACAAGGCCTACTAGCCCACACAAGGCAGCTACTATTTCTAGCCTGGTTGACTATTCAAGTGTTGTGACCACCACCTCCAGGCTTAACACACATTAAGATGCATTTTTTTTTCCAATTATTTTATTGTTTGTTACTTCCATCCACAAGCTTTACATGTCTGCAGTGTGGATGATAAGAATGTGAGACCATCCTAAATACCACAGTATTGTAAATACATTAAAGGGGAACGTGATGGGAGCATCATTATTGTGACTCGCTGCCACCTCACTATTCATCTTGACAATGTACTAATTATAATATATAATAATATAATAATTATATATATATATATATAAAAGCCAATATTTAGTAATTTTGTAAAACATTCTGCTACTATCCATCACTTTTTCCCTTTATAGTATACATGATGAATTCACAGATGATGAAGCTCCAGTGAAGCCTACTGCCATATTGAACAGGATAAAAGAACACCTAAGGATTAAAATCTTGACCTCATAATCCATGCTTCCATCATATATATGCAAAGGCATGACACACTTCATACACCATTACTGTACAAAGTGCTATTAAACAACATTCACTCATCCATACACAACACTACCATTTGCTTCACTATATGGGACAGTTACATTGTTTCAACTGTAAACATCCTCCTACGTGTATGGTGCAGTGATCATATACCGTGTAAGCCAAATTTAAAACATGGTATTATGGAAGAAATTAAAATTTAAATTTACATACTATACTGAAATTTCCTTTCCTGGACTATACATAATGAAAATAGGCACTTTTTCAAAATCTAAGTGGACATTAGCTATCATTTCTTTGCTTTAAGCAAAATAGGAAACTATACTCTCATTGTGTCATTCATGTTCACAACCTGTATGTCTGTTCACTTTCCATAATATATGGACTAAAAAAAAAAAATTAATCACAAGTAAACAGAAAATGAGCATATTACCACAAACTTTGAAAGGAAGATACAAAAGGTCACTTGTATAAAAATAACACACACACACAAGGCTGGCAATGTTTTTGTAAAATTTGACACTGGGTGCTTGTCACAGCACAGATGCAAGTAAACTGACATGAGAATATTTGCCTGCCCACACTATGGACTACCACCATCTGTGCTGTTATGCACTCAAATTTTCCTCATACACAAACATGGAGATCATTGGCATACACATTTCTTTAACAGTAGCATTCAGCTCCGCAATACAAGGTTCCCTTACCTCGGTCAATTATTACCAGATTCTAGCAATGTTTGTGCAAAACTTGAGATTTATACAAAAAAATTAGAAAGTATGAATACAACTTGAAACAAATTAAGTATTAATTCTCAGGAAAGAGATTTACACAAAGAATATCACAACAGCATTATTAGTGAGATGACCAATGAGCCTGAAGATAATGTATGATATTCATGAGACTTGCTCTCATCTTTTCTTTCTTTTTAAACAAATAAAAGACTAGGTCTCATTGCACCACCAATCAAGGACCATCTTTCCTCGGTTCATCACATTCCAAATGGAAAGAAATACTAGCAATGCTTAATTGTGATTCAAAAGCTGACAAGAGGCACATTTACATCTTAATTGCAACACTTACATCAATGCCTGCTGGCTATATAGAAATGTTGAATTTTCTCTTTGACATGAACACTTCATTATCATCTATATAAATCTGCAACAATGCTTCTAAATTGTGGAATATATTCACTGGAGATTCTATGAAGATGAGATTCCAAATTTTCACTGCATGTACCGAGTCTGATCACGATGAATAACTTAAAGTAAGCAACACTAGTGGGCCTGGGTTCCAACGGCCCACTACACCTCTCGCGAGTCCTCTCTCATACACAAGTGAGCCATCACAATTCTCACTATATCCCAATTGCTGGGGAAGGGGAAGGGGGAGTGGGGACACCCTCTCAAATGTGGGCAACTGTTTCCCCAAGATACTCTATATTCACATAGTTTGCAAATATTACAATTATTCCTTTTGCATCCCATAATCTAAAGTAATAAAGAGGAAGTATCATTTCTGTGGCCATTTTGGCACAAATAATATTAAGAGACACTGTATTAACATTTGGTTTCACAGTTCATACAACTATTCCAAACTAAATGTTTAATACTTTAAATCACATATACAAAGTTTCTTGACCATTATTTTAAAAGGCCATATTATATTTAACTACTCTATCAGGGAATCTGAGGTAAATAATCACTAAAGGGCTCTGATGGATGGACCTTAAGTGTCTTCTTTATCAGAAGATCTAATTCAACTTGTAATTGTTTCATATCCATATACAAACAATGTCATCACTTCTTACTTTTCAAATAACAATTATTAAATTTCACTGGTCATGTATGATCTGATAGTTCTTTGATTGACTGCTAGATGTTACAAATATTATGAGAAACATTCTGCCGTGTGTTTCTCATCTTGTTTCTGTTTATCATTCTCAACACCACTGTTGACCCTCTTTTACCAAATTAATTTGCTGTGGTACCATTAAACAACAAGATCACGTATAACACCAAAACAAATTTTAGTACAATATCTAGGTCAGTCACTACAAACCCTGAAATGACAGCATACTACAGATATATAAATCTGGAAAAAGTGACCAAAGGATGGGTGTTGACAGGTACCATGGCGCTAGGTGAAGACTGCCACATGGCTATGAAGATTTCTAGACAAACGTAGCCACAGCAGATGGTGATTTGTCTTCGGGAGCTGGCTTTCGCTTACCAGTAGCTCCTCCATACTGTCCAATGAATGACCCATCTTCTGTGAACCTTCCTGAAATATATACAAATGACTTTCATCAGCAACCTAGCACATGAATATAATTATACATTAATAAACTCTATTTCAGCCTGAAACTTTTACAAAAATAAACAATTCTAATACCAAAGTATTAACCTTTCAGGAAAAGCTGCAGCTAATCCAGCGCTTGAACCATGTGACCTACGCAGCACACATCATGGCCATAACGTAATACCATGAAATGTCATTGAAAAGCATAAAAGGAAATTATCATACTATGCTGCAACATAACCAGCTTTTAATAGGAAAAATGCACAAGATCTCTCATCTAGAGCTTTATTGATTATGCCAAGTTGCCTCTCAAAACTAATTATCAGTAATAAATTTTAATTCTTCATTATCAAACACCGATTAAAAGTTAACTACTGTACTAGTTAAAGCCATGCAGGAGACAATTATAGATATGAATGTCATAACCCATTTTCAGTCAACTATTGATATAAATGAAACTTGGGCTTAAAGTTACCTCACAATTATTGTTTTGCTTGCTCCACATGAGGAATGGCATGCCATGTACCATAATTTACCTGTGCAATTATCAGTAGTTATTTATTTGCACAAATTATCACAGAAAAGCATCAACTTTGGCTGCTACAGCATTTCAACATCACTGACAATCCCGTCAATACTCTATATTTCCTAAGTTAACACTATCACGCCCGAAGCGTGTGCGCCACAGACTTTGGTGTCATGTTCCCGGCAGCGAGGTCAAGCGTGTGGCGACACCGAAATGTGTATACTCGTTTCAGTTTTCTCACCTTAATTCTCGTGCTACATTGTTCGTTTTGGAATCATTGTGTTCGCAATTATATTCCCTGCACGAGTATGTGCATAAAAGGTCCAAAAGCCCGACGTGACTCCCCGCAGCAAAGCCCAAAGTTACCCGTGAATGAGCCCCAATTGGCACACCGCAAGCTAATTTGTATACTCGTTCAGTTTGATAACAAATTTTTGTGCTACGTCTTTCATTTTGGCATCAAATTGTTCGCAATATAAAGGCGTGTATTGTAAAACTAGTCCCATAATAATAGAGCAATAAATGGAATTTTAACAAATATTTTAAATTTTGGACGCTCATCATCACAAAATTAATTATATTTTTCCAGTGTTCTGACATCAATGTTCGTGTTGCATCTTTCATTTTGGTATCAAATTGTGCACAATCTAAAGGTGCTCATTAAAAAAAAACTCAGATCGGATAAAATTTAAATTTTAAACAAATATTGTAAAATGTTGGACGCCGCTCGCATCCTCAACTCAGACTCTTGTAGTGTAAAAGAAAAAGTGTAGACGCCAGGGGCGTTCGAAGAGTGTGAAAGTGTTAACCAAGTTATAAAAAAAAACTAAGCCTAACAATAAAAACTTAATTAATAATAAACTTTCATGGCAGAATTCTAAGCTAAATGAATGTTAAAAGTCAGAAAAATCAATCCTTTTGCATAATATAAAAACCAAGGCTTACATGTAAAAGAATGCAGGTATAACATCAAACTAGGGTGGCAAATGCATTGGATGTTGTCTCGCCTTTCTTGCGGCCGTACTGACCAATGAAGGAGCCGTCTTCAGCCATGCCTGCTCCTGAGACGGACCAAATATTCAAGCAATCAACAAACAAATATAAAAATATACACACACAAGCAGTGCACTTGCTAACAATCTTCTAAAAAATCAAAATCCTATAACTACAAAGTACTCTACTCGGAAAATAGGTTTTTAGTAGATGGTAGTGCTAAAATCGATTACCCAGTCCAATGAAAATTTATTGTATTACTGTATTGTATATTATGTACATTATATAAAATTTATTTAAAGTGCATGAAAACATGTTTTCAAATTATAGTCAAGATATTCATGGATAAAGCATAATGCTTACCAAATCATATAAAAAGATTGTAATGTCTCTTCTAAAAGCAAAAACCTTGTAGTGAGGATATAACATTAAGTAAAATTAAGTCAGCTCAAGTACATCATTCTAGTAATATTTATCAACTTGGAAAGTTTATTCAATGCTGCTTATTAGACATTTGCAAATTTCAGCAAAGGTCCACAATTAATAGATGAATAGAATGAGTGAGCTGAGCTTGAAAGCAAGTAGGATGATCCCATATGTAAAATAGAAATAATTTACCGTGAAAGAACAGGTAATCGACTTTAGTGATATGCACTTTAAAAATAAATACAAAGAAATAAAGCAAGCTAATAAAACAAAATGGAGAATGTTGCATGTACTGTACAACACTGATATTTTGTAAGAAATGTGCAAGACTACATTTACTTCAGCACTATGTTCCTTAATTTTAAAAAGCATACAGCACAGTTAATAATTATGCTGCCAGTACAAACCTGTTGATGTTCAAAATGAATTGAATGTTTTTATTCTCACCTGGAAAATAGCTGCATACTAATTAGTAAAGAAGGCATGAAAAAAAGAACATCACAGTCTACTCTGTGCCTTGGAAGATAGCAAAGAAAGTATTGAAGTGAGGTGGTTTGGTTTGCGAGGTAAAGAGGTTTGTGTTCTCAAGTAGTCACGACTGAACAACTGTCATGCAAGGAGCAAGTGAAATAACCATAAACAACCATCTTGTAGCTTTTGACAGGTATATTCATAATGGCTTGCTGCTTTCTCTTGATAGCTTAATACCTGCGTGATGGGGTTCTGGGAGTTCTTCTACTCCCTAAGCCAGGCTTGACTTGCGAGAGCTTGGTCCAACAGGTTGTTGCTTGGAGCGGCCCACAGGCCCACATACCCACCACAGCCCAGTTGGTCCACCACTTCTTTTAGAAAACAATCTAGTTTTCTCTTGAAGATATCCACGGTTGTTCTGGCACTATTTCTTATGCTCGCTGGGAGGGTGTTGAGCAACCGCGGACCTCTGATGTTTATACAGTGTTCTCTAATTGTGCCTATAGCATCCCTGCTCTTCACTGGTTCTATTCTGCATTTTCTTCCATATCGTTCACTCCAGTATGTTGTTATTTTCCTGCGTAGATTCAGTACCTGGCTCTCCAGTATTTGGATATCCAGTATCCACATGTATATTATTTGATATCTCTTTCTTCTCCTTTCTAGTGAGTAGTACATTTGAAGAGCTTTGAGATGATCCCAATAATTTGGGTACTTTATCGCGTCTATGCGTGCCGTATATGTTCTCTGTATTCCCTCTATTTCAGCAATCTCTCCTGCTCTGAAGGGGAAAGTGAGAACTGAGCAGTACTCAAGATGGGACAACACAAGTGATTTGAAGAGTACAACCATTGTGATGGGATCCCTGGATTTAAAAGTTCTCATAATCCATCCTATCATTTTTCTGGCTGATGCAATTTTTCTAGCTTCTGAGGCTAAGTATTACAGACAAGAAACAGATGGATATTGTCCACACTAATTGCTAATCAATTTTGTATTATTCTATTGGTATACCGTAACTATTTTTGTATTAGAACTGGAAGGAATTTCACAAAGTACACTTAAGGTCCTGTCCCATCTATTCAACTAAATTACAGTATTTAAAAGTTATCACTAAATGTTAAAATTGCAACCTGGTCACAAGTTGGTGTTTCCAAGATGAACTCTAAATATTGCCAACAGAAACAAACTGAAGGAGAAATGTGTAGATGAAAGACATTGAGGAAAATAACGCGTGCATAGACATGGCTGGAGGGAGATAAATGAGAAGATGGAGATACATACAACAAAGATATAAACTAGTGCATGGAGTTAAACAAAATTACACTGTTTTTAATGCACAATGCAGAGGATTGTTACATATAGGTAACATTCAAAAGATGCTGAAATCACAAAACACATTATACAAAGCATATTAAAACAACTATCTACTTGAACATAAACAGAACAATGCATGAACACAGCATGGAAAAGCTAAAAGAACTACATTAAGCCTTGATTATCCATGACACTATAAAATGATTTCAAAAGTATGGCAATTGTAAATAAAATCCTCAATTACTTATTATCCTAACAGTCAATCCACAGAATACCCCATCATCATCATCAACAGTCTCGCGAGCCCCTCCCTTGGTTTCCCCTTAATACTATAAGCCCAATCTTATCTGAGGGGCTCTTCAAATCTCTTGGAACATTTGTGTTATGGATATGAGAAGCATCACAAAGTGTGAAGCTTATGAGGATGCAGCAAGCGAGGTGCTGCACACCAGTGCAAGAATATAAGTATATTAAGTAAAATGTGATGAGACAACTGACAAGTTGCTGCAATCATTACAAGCCATTTGAGCTAAGAAATATGGTCAAATATATTTGTGTGATTAAGGATTGTTTTGTAAGCCAATAGAGAGTAGCACTTTGAGATGTAAGAATCATCCTCCATGTCCTAGGTAGAAGCCCCCATACATCCCTCATTCTAAGTAAACATTAGTAAACATGACCTAAACACCTGCACACCAAGCAGGTGCTGGAACAGTTGATGCAGCTGGGTGCTGGAACAGGAAGCTCTATATAAGGTACCAAATCAACTGGGTACCATGCGAGGTTAGATAGGATAAACAGTACCCTTTAAAACTTGAGCAATGATTTACTCAAGACCTTGTATATTACATGTCTGAATGAACTGGGGAAAAGCTTGAAGTATGTCGGTATACTAGTCTCAGGGCCAAGAGCTCCATGAATAAATAAATTATACCTACTGTCACTGGAGGAATGAACACACAAGTAGGCAATACATACACACAACATACAAAATAATCAGGCACACATACAAAGTGGGCACCGGCAGTACACAAACAAGGAGACTTAGTCTCCTTGAAAATTTAGTACACCATCGAGCATTAAATGTAAAGAATTGGTTCAGTATCATAGTAGTAAATAAATAGAATACTGTATGCTACAAAATAGTAGAGAAAATAGCCTTCATACACAGCCTCAAATGTAGATATGACAAAACCCAATGGACTTGGGAATCTGTACACCAGTTGATTGGAGGTCAAGAAGTGATCTGACCATACACCAGGATTGGGGCGTTCAGATGGGATTAGAACCGAGCTTCTGACCTCTCCTCCTCAGCACAACCAGGCGAGTACCCATCCCCATCAGTGACAGCCACAAGTACCACACAATGAACACAATCTTCTGCCACCCACCCTCCCAGAGCCCCAGAAAGTGGTCAATGAGTCTCATCACATAGGGGAAAGATGTAAAACATCTGAATTTGCCTGGACAAAAACACAATTCTTGAACAGTCTCCTGATTGCAACCCCAATTTATTTAATAAGTGTCTGGAAGCCAAGTTCAGTTTCTCTTGTATAACATTAGACCAATGATGAATTTGTTCAATAAATAGTAAGTGATCACATCCATCACACTGATAACACTTGGCTTTGTGATACACTATGAACAAATCCTATGCTCTCTCACTTCCCACATAATGCATACCAACTATTGTTGTAGCCTGCCTACAAGGTGAATCATATTCAATTCTGAAAGAGTTATTAAGTAAACGTAAAGCATTAATTGATACGAGAGAAATCTTGGCACTGATAACAATACTTTTTAGCCATTTCTATAATTAATAAGACGAGGCCAAGAGAGAAGACTATTGTTATATATTAAGAAACTTAACTCTTGACTCACTACAGACTGAGGAAGACTATACTGTATAGTTATTCCATTTCCTTCCTCCTAAAAAATCTTACAAACACTTGCCCACCTAGGTCAGCTACTATGATCTTTAGTCATGATCCAACTACCTATAATACATTGTTTTAAATGGCCTCATATCATTTCCATGGTAAAAGAAAGAGAACACTTACTCTAGAGCAAGACGGGGTTAAAACAGTTGGTTAAAACTATTAACAAAAAAATGCCAAAGAGTTTTTTTATGCATAGCATAACTGAAATTCATATTTATGGTTGGGATAATCAAGGTACTGTACCTATACACACAAGCACACACAATGTAGACTTTAGCTAGACATAAAACTGGATTAATCCTTAACGTGAAGACTGCAAACAAAAACTCCAAATATACATAATACAACTTAATACAAAACAAGCACATTACACACAAAAAACTCCAGTGTAATTTAAAAGTAATGCGAGGCTCAAACCTGAATAGAAAGTTGCACGAGGCCCATGTGAAATGGCACCATGAAAATGGATATAGGGTAAACCAGAGAACAGTCTTCAAAAACTTACCTGTATCACCATCTCCATATTCTGCCATAGAGTCCGTGTCTGATTCTATTGGGTTTTTCACATCACTACCCAGACTATCTCTCTTCGGTCCATCCAATCTGTAAAATTAGTGTGATCAGGTTTAATTTTTTAATGTAAGAAACTAATCTTGCATATGGCTTAAATATCAGGAATGTGACACTTAGTAATTTTTTTGGCTACACAGTCAGAGGGGGAAAGTGAAATAAGAATGGAGAATAATGAAAGCGATAGTATACCTACTGATAGACAAGTGCTATGTTCAGAGTTCGAACATAGTATGGGCATAGCTTAAAATAATAATAATAATGATAAAATCCAATAGGGCAATGAGGTGGATGGGAACCTACAACCTTGGCATTCCCAAGGTTGTAGGATGAACACCTTGTGATGTATATATCACAATGGGATTTCAGTGTGCAATACTGCTGGTTATATAATAATAAATTTGAGAGAGGAGACGCACTTTAGCATTACCACAACTTTACTGTCGGAGTACAGATGACATGATTGAGCATCACTGAAATGCTAAAATGTTAGTAAAGTACTATAATGTCACAAAAAGATTTAAAGAAATAAAATATTTTATATAGTATTAAAATATCCTGAAATGAGTTATAATATTTTGATCAGTCCATTGGATATCAATTTACAGTTCCAAAGCAAACAGTACTAACAAAACTTACGGCTGTGCAAATTCAGGGAATCCTTGCTCTTCATTGAAGTCGGTCCGCCCATGAGCAGCCTCTCGTTCCTGGACAGCGTACTTTCCTCCCCGATTGCGCTTGACAATACACACGATGATCAGGATCAGGATCAGGAAGGCAATAGCAAGCATCATGCCAATAAACCAACCACGAGTCGCAATGTTATCTGATGGCCGTACAAACACTCCCGAGTACTGTAAAGAAGGATACTGCATGAAGCCAAAGCTCAACACCTTGCAAGGACAATTAGTCGAGTACCAATGAATGCCTTTACTCCAGAGCTGTACAAATAGAATCAGCCAAGGTCTGTGACAACTATGCTTTATAGGCAAGCAAGTCATGTTTTCTTATTTTAAGCTATTCACTGGCATGTTTGGGGCAAGAATAATGCTTACCTCTACAGTAGTGCTTTATTTTGAAGCACAAAAAGACCCTCTTCCCATCACCTGCTATAAAGCATCCCAAATATAATTTGTAATGTACAAGCATCCTACTTCCAGTAACACAATATCCCTCCCAGTCAAATATTATAATTAAATATTAAATTTGTTATGGATATCATGTAAAAAGCATTTTAAATAAAATTTGAAAAATTATAATATTAAGCATAAATAATATGACAGTATCTGGTCTGGTGCTACTGCCTATAATAAATTTTATCTTGGTGCATCTTTCCTTCAGTTTGCCTTCCCTTGTATAGTGATTCAACAGATGGTCAAGGACATCGCAGGCATATGGTGAGTGGTAATGTGGTGGTTGTACAGTGGCGAGAGGATAGAATACAGGAAGAAGCAGAATTGGAGATAAGAAATACAGGAAATCCCTCCAACTCTAGTCCAGGCAAGTAAAGGCCACCGCAGATGCCTCAACCCCAGGAGAGTCAAACGCAGGAGGCCACCATTCCACGCCGAGGTGAAGACGGCCATATCACGAGGCTATCGGGTAGAGTATCATCAAATCGTTCATCACCACGAACCTGAGGTGAAGACGGCTGTTTGGTCACCTGCAGGTGACCAAACAGTTTGCCAAACCCTATGAAAGCATGTGTCTTGATCTTGAGGTTATCTTGAGATGATTTCGGGGCTTTAATGTCCCCGCGGCCCGGTCCTCGACCAGGCCTCCACCCCTAGGAAGCAGCCCGTGACAGCTGACTAACACCCAGGTACCTATTTTACTGCTAGGTAACAGGGGCATAGGGTGAAAGAAACTCTGCCCATTGTTTCTCGCCTGCGCCTGGGATCGAACCCAGGACCACAGGATCACAAGTCCAGCGTGCTGTCCGCTCGGCCGACCGGCTCCCATAGGGAGCCGGTCGATAGGGAGTGTCAATAGGGAGATGAAAAACCAGAGGAACGTGCGCAAGCACAGTGAACTTGAACACAAACTACAAGATCCAAACCTAGAGAAATGAGAGCAACTTATATGCTAATGCTGAAACCAGCTACACTGTAAAAGGTCAAATCAACGCACACACACCAAGACAAAGAACAACAGGAAAGCAGGTAGAGGGAAATCAGACCACAGAACTAAAAGAAATACGAGCACACAGTAAAACAAAACACCTCTGCAATCTTCCAAATTGAGAAGTGAGCACACTGGGCTCAGGACTCCATCTGCAACATGGCTCAGGACTGCCAAGGAAGCACAAGCCATGAACCCCAGTAAAGAACTAAGGTGACCAGGAAGAGGGCGAGCACAAGAAGGGGAAGACACCAGTGAACAATCTTGATGAGGGCAACAGTGACCAAAGACCTGCAGGGCAACAAGAAATCTCACCTGGCAATCCTAGCAAAGGCAAACACCCCTGTAACAAACAGGAGCATTCATACAGCTAAAAACAAACCATGCAGGCACAAGTTTTCAAGGAGCCAACATGGAAGAGTGTACCCCAGAAAATCTGGAGAGAGAGATGCCAGCTGATGCAAGATGATGATCATCATAGCCAACAAACTGGGAAAGAATGGGAAAGGTCTTTGTGGGGAAATCGAGCAGCCGGTAGAACCCAAACCCACTAAGCCAATAGGGGGACCTGTGGCCCTCTTCCATAAAGAACTCCAAGCACCTGGAAATTTGAGACCAGGGAAGGATGAAGGGGGTAAAGCTAACCTTACAGCACAGCCAGAAATAGAGGCAAGCCATTAAAAACCCAGCACTGAATGTACTGAAATGCCCCTTTCTTTCTGCGTCCGGGATGCTCCCGGACGCAGGTTCGAATCCTCGTCACGGCCCTTGTGGATTTGCCCCTCTCTGATGCATCCAATGTGGCTCACACTGTTGCTAATAATTTGGATAGTTCCCCACTATCACATTGCACCAGGGTTATCAAGAGTCGTTAATAGCTAAAAGGCCAAAACCTGGTCCCCTTGGTGCAGAGAATACTAGATCACTCTACCCGAGCAAATAACCACCAGAAAAGTACATCTAACAAAACATACAACTGCAAGGCAAAAGTAAATAATAAGAAGAGAAACCCAGCAATCGTGTCATTTCACAACTAGTACAACCTCCCACCACTAGGTGACAGCATTGACAACTGTCGGGTCGGGTCGGTGACATAAACAATGTGGAAAACCACTAACTAAAAATATTTATGACAAATTAAAGAGGTAACAAAATTGGTAATCACGCAATACAAATTAAAAAACAATATGCTTAGTTTACCACAGAGAAAAACATAATAATGTCTAGTTTTCAAATTTCATGATAACTTTTAAAAACTTGCAATAAATCACTAAGCAGCTGCATAAATTTTCGAAGAAAGTTACAGATTACTTACTACACCAGACAAGTGAGTGTCTATCTCTTCCACGTCTGACTCAGTGTTAAACATTCCATCTACAGCCACCACTGACACCTGGTAAGTTTTCTCGTCCTCCAAACCTTTCAGTATGATGAAATCTTGATACAATTCTGGCTTTGTTTCCTGGAACATGCTCTCCCCATACAACCTGCAATGATATACACAGCCAGAATTAAATGATTATTCAAATTCGGAATATACAGTATAGTACATTGCAAAGCTAAAGATAGAACCCACGATGACCGTTATCATCCAAAAGCCAATTCACTGTTAGACAACTAAAGCAATCTAATTTGGATTCTAATTAGGTTATATACATGCCGCAAAAGTGATGAAAATACAGTACCAACAAACTGTATATCCATCATCTGTGTTAGCCTCGGGGCCCACTACATTTGAAAATTTCTACATATCCCTCATCAATATCTGCAGGTTTCTTACGTGTCTGCTTCTGCCCTGGTGCACTTCCCACTTTCATTGATATAGCTCTACCCTTCTCACATCAAGGCCAATCAGTATCACATTTTTACTAATTTAATCACTTCTACCCCCATCAGACTTTCAAACTATTCCCTCCACCTACTTACAAGTCTTGCTTCATTAACATTCTTACACATACAACATTAACACTGGCTTTCCTGCCAGAATCCTTACTGCTCTTTACCTTTCTTCTTTCCAAGAGCTTTAAGGTTTTAAAACATTTCTTCGTAGCACTTCACACTATTATTGCTAGAGTAACTATTTACACCCCACCCATGCCGTCACCACTTACTTGTACTTAACAAAGAAGTGCGATCCGGGATTGGTCTCTGTGTTGGGGATCCAGGTGATCTTAATGGCTAATGCACCTATGTTACTTCTAGTGTGCTGCCAGATGAATGATGGTTTTCCAGGTGGTGTTGCTTCAGTACTTCGAGTCATTCGTTCAATGTAGTAACTGGATCCTAAACCCATCTAAAATAAAGATTTATATATTAAACAGCTACATAAAATTACCTGCATAGCTATTTGTTTCCACCTATCACATTTATTGTCATTCCATTTCCTATTTTCACAGGGTTGGGGAGTCATATACTATTCTCTCTGAACCAATAAGAAAATTAAAGATATTCAAAATGACACCTATCCATTCACATCATCCACACAGAACCGTATCATAAAAAATAAGCACCCACAGCAGCACACTTTTGCTTCCTAAACCAGGTATAATGAGCTTGTGACAACTAAATGAACTACTCAGCTGATGTCTGAAACAAAACATCAAACATTCACTCACCAGTGAATGGCCAGATGAGTTTGACACTTGGCACCATGCACAAGATATATTCAAGTGCATAAGTGACATTTGTAAACTTTCATAGAAAACTTTGTTACACTGTTTATGCCAGGGAATACATCAATCTATGCCCCCCCCCACCAGCAAATTTCAATTGCATTATTCTCCGACCCTTCTTGAGGTTATCTTGAGATGATTTCGGGGCTTTTTTTTAGTGTCCCCGCGGCCCGGTCCTCGACCAGGCCTCCACCCCCAGGAAGCAGCCTGTGACAGCTGACTAACACCCAGGTACCTATTTTACTGCTAGGTAACAGGGGCATAGGGTGAAAAACTCTGCCCATTGTTTCTCGCCGGCGCCTGGGATCGAACTCAGGACCACAGGATCACAAGTCCAGCGTGCTGTCCGCTCAGCCGACCGGCTTCCTTCTGCACATTCTCTGTTGAAAATGTTCCAGGCTTCCCAGGCCACTCAGCGATGCAAAAAATTTTAACAACCATTTTGTTTTCTAAGTTATTTGATGGGTTATAATTATAAATTTAGTGCCAAAATGTTCACAAATGAATTGTCTAAAGAATAGATGCAAAAACCAAAGTGCATTAATAAAAGCTTTTGTTCCCCTCCACACATTCCTAAACGTAAACATGGCGGGCTTGGCAGGTCCCAGTCAGTGATGCTTAAAGTATGTGCAAGCATTTTATGTTTTCTCAGTTATATGTTGGGCGACAATTTTAAATTTGGAGTTAAAATGTTTGTAAATTAATTCTCAGACCATGCACCCGATTATTTACATATTTACACAATTCCGCCCATGCACCCGAGGGGGCATGGGGGGAATTGTGTAAAACCCTGGTTTGTCTCTCTGAGAGGCTGCAGGATCCGAGTAAGGTCAGTAGAACTTCAGGTTGCAAGTCATTTACCATGTCGTAAGCTCAGTCGATTAAGGCAGCATCCGAGATCCTCTCGGACGTAAGTTCAAATCCTCGTCACGGCCCTTATGGATTTGTTCATTTTATGAATCACGCTATTGTGATTTCTGTCTGTAGCATGTAGTTCACAGATAGTGCACCTGTGTGTATTTTGAGCAAGGAGGGCACTCTTGCTGTCTCAAGCATGCCTTTTATTGGGTCTAAAATTACTTTCTCCTGCATGTGAGACGCATGTCAAAAGTAGACATCGATCATATTTAAGTACATCCTCCTACACCGCTACTTACGAAGCTGTGGCTCATTTGCAGGCTTGAGTATTTGGGTACTTGTTTCCTATCATTCCTCTTGGTTTGTTACCATTGCGTCTCGGCAGCAGCATCCATTCTTTGATGTAGACTTGGAAGTGATCCCTATCATTTACAAGTCTGCTCGGCCGACCGGCTCCCTACGTGTTTACAGATTGTTCATTACTACTATACTAACTTGGTTTTAAGCACATGCTGCACCAACATGTGTAGAGAAAGGCAGGCAGACACTACTACAATATTACACACTACCCTCTACTGGTGTCTCCTGCTACCTAATTCTTCCTAGCCAAGGCTTTCACTGCACCAGCTACTAACCTTCCCTCACTTGCTCTACTCTCATCCACACTTGAATAATTGATGCTCAATAACAAACATTTGGTAACTTCTTCAACTGCTTTCCCCATCTCCCTTAATTTCTATACATGTTTTCATCTCTGTCCATCACTATTACAATACTTTAGTTATTAATTTTTTGCACCTTTATGTCACATACACCTACATTAAAAACTAAAATTTGCAATTCTCATCTTCCACATCCAAATACTGTATACTATACAGTACATTAAATACTATTCCACTAACTTTACACATGCTCAACACTCTCCCATGAACTCTCTTAAAAATTCATCAATGTCTTCTATAATGTAGATGTATACAAGGTCTACATCTTATAGTAATTGGACTGTAATTCCCATAATAAGAATCATATGAAGTATCCCAAGCTACTTGGTTGTGCAAGTCTCCTGCTAATCAAGGATGGAAGATCAACATCAGATAGGTGTGCAGGTGAAGGATAAAAGTGCACTCAAATATAAAAAATAGATAGCAATCACAGTCACCAACAACAAGATTTGATAATGCACCCCATATACAATATCAGTTACAATATCATATACAATTTAACAACATGTTAAAAATCAATGGTTATTGCTCTCACAATCCAGAACCATAAAACAAGTCCAACATACACCAGCACGAACACTTGATACAAAACTATGATGCTTACCGCAGTGCGAGCCATAATTGTAATACGGTACTTGGTTGCCGGCTTCAGCGAAGCAAGTTTAGCCCTCGTCGTCATGGGATCATTTATAGGTGGATCACGTGTAGATTGTTGGCCCGTACTGGTGCCATGAACCTCTTGATAGCGTATGTCGTAACCCAACAAATTGCCATTTGGTTGCTTTGGCTTCTTCCAGATGAGGAAAAAGGCTGAGGAGCCCATAGGTATAGCATCAAGAGAGTCCACTGGTCCTGGCTCTGTAATACAACATACAAAACATTAGAGAAGAGTGTGATGCAAACATTTACCCTTAAATTGTCTTAAAATATACTTTATAAATCAGACTAAAATACAATAATCTTAAAGCAAAATGCATCTAATAAATTATTGAAGAGAAGGAAAGGATGACAAAAGAAACATGAACATAATCATTTAAGTTCAGAAATTAAGACAAAGAATGGACTGGAAAGGCAAAACAACCACAATAATAAATGGGTTGATCAGATGTGAGAAAAATTGAAACCCATCATCGTAAAATCAAAATATCTGAAGCAGATTTATGCTAAAAACCCAGCATTGAATGTAATAGAATGTCTCTGTCTGGAGTGGCCCCTGTGGCTCCCTGAAACTAACATGCCGAGATTGCTCCATAGCAGCTTTACATTCCGATGATGCTAAAATGCATCGTCCATACTCCAAGAGTAAATGTTTGAAGGATGCTAAAATAAAAACAATCAATTTAAATGATATTTCAATGATCAGCAGCTAATCCAATGATGTTGGATCAGCCGCTGATCCAACACTAGTCAGCGACAAAGCAGCAGGAGGAACAAGGTCGCCCTAGGGAGTAAAACTGATGCCAACCGGGAGTCTGAAATGAGACCCATCCAAGTTCAAACCTGCGATAGTCCTCCTGGTGAACTGGAGGACTTCCTCCAGTTCACCAGGAACCCGAGCCCTGCAAGTTGAGAAGCATGAAGGCTCAGGGACAGAGCCATAGCTCTTATTCAAATCCTGAGATGGAAAGGTATCCTCCAAAGGAGCATTTGAATGTGTGTGCTCTGAAACCCCAAAAGGACAAAGTCTATGAAGTGAAAGGCAAAGGCATATACACAGGTGAAGAGACGAAATGAGGTAAACGACAAATTGGAAATGAGGGAAACGACAAATTAAAGATTTTAATGTAAGAACACTCATACATCGTTATGAGAACTTGGTACATATTGAGGTCAGTGTGCAAGCCTCTCAATTCTATTAAACCCCTTACTTCCTTCTGGTGTCACGAAGCTGATGGATTCACTGGGAGGACCGTCGTAAGCACCATTGAACACAAGCACACGAACAAAGTTTTTGGTGAATGGAACAAGTGAGGTCACAAGAGCGCTGGGCTCATTGTTATTTTCTACGATGATATCTCGGGCCTTCTCCTCGCTCTCATTTTCTGTCCATGTTTGAATCTGCAAAACCAATACATTGATTACACTTTTGGCCTATCTGTTAGTTAATTCTGTTATCTGTTGGTTAATTATCTGTTACATTAAGGACCTGCCCGAAACGCTGCGCATACTAGTGGCTTTACAAGATTGTAAATACTATGCTATGTATTCTTACAAACCCAATGTACCTTCTTGTATATAAATAAATAAATAAATAAATAAATAAATAAATAAATAAAAATAAAAAAGGAAAGGGAGTACCACCTCTGGCTGGAAGAAGGGGGACCCATAGCCTCGGAGGAAACCACGCATAACACATTGGAGGGAATGCGAATAGGGAGGGAATAAATAAATAAATAAAAATAAATAAAATAAATAAATGCCTTCAGCTATTCCCCTGCCGTTGCTATTATACAGTAGATGAAGATATTCTCAGTCAGTTACACAAGCTCAGTAAGGCACGTAGTCTCGGTCAGGCAGTCAGTCACAGTCTCTGTTTTTATTTCACTTGTAAGAGGCCATTAAATAAGTGGTTGAAGGAGAAAGGAGGAAAGGGGGGGGGGGGGAGATGATTGAAGTGTCAGGGGAGGGAATAGAGTGATGGGGGTGAGGGATTGGGATGGTGTCTGGGGTGGGGGATTGGGAACAACCCTGGATTAACCATTAAGCAAAATAAGCATGTGCTTAGGGCCTCATGTAAAGAAGGGGCCCCAAAGAGTTATTTTCCAGTGTAACACCATAAAGGTGTTTTGTATTTAATTATTAATACAGTATATACATAATACATGAGTTACAGACAAGATTTTGAAAGGCGACAGTCTGTCGGCCTCTTGTAATTAAGAAAGTCACACCTAGATGTGTTAATGACGACAAACTAACCCGGGGTCAGGTCGTGTAATCTGACCTGGCGTCTGCTAATCTGATAATTGTAGCCCGATAGCCGGGCGTGTCCTTCAAACAAGCCACCGTTTAGGTGTGGCTTTGTAGAAGGCCTGGGCCTATCTACTTGTGGGCAGAGTTAGCTACAAGGTTCCCAATAAATACCCAGGGAACTGTAGATTCGAGAGGTAGAGCATACAGCACAACAGGAGCAAAGCAGAGCAGTGAACAGCAGCCAGTCCAGGCTGTCCAGCTGGGTGAGGATTCTGCCTGTCAACCCCCTCCACCCCCACTTTATCCAAATTAGGCCCAGTCCTCGGTGAGTTGAACGTTAAGGTGACTTAGTCGTGTTTACTATAAAGTGTTGTGCGATTATCTTGGGGCAGATGACTGTTATAGTTCTCAAATTCTTGTGTAATGACTCACTTTATATATTATTCTTGAACATTAAGTTGATTTGCTTAAATTATGATACTTATCATGTGAAATATAATTGATGAATTTATTGTTTAAATTGTCTTTAACTTTCTTCCCTAGAGCTTTGCGAGTTGAGGCGATAGAGCCTCTGCGGTGACTGATCTGATGATTTTAATAAGTACATGTTTAGAGTTGATACATGAACCCCTTGGATAATTTTGTGATACAGACAAGTTCCATTCCTTGTCATGTATGCACTGACTAGAATGGATGGTAGCAGCACTTTCTACTTCTACATATCTACCCTTCTACCTTTACCCCTCTACCTCTACTCATCTCCATACTCTCTCTCCTCTCCCTCTTTCGATTTCCCTTTCAACTGACGACCCTCCCCGCTGCTCCCACTTCTCATCCCGAACCCTCACTCAGTACTTCCTTATTCATTTCTTTCCTTTCGTTTCTCTTATACGTTCGTGGCAGTGAACAGTTTTAGAGTTCTCTAGAGTTGCGGGTAGCTGTTCAAGTTACAATGCCTTGTGGTTGTAGCACCTAGGTAATCAAATACCTAAGTTAAAAAGTGTTGAACTAGAGGTGTTGCAGTAGGAACTTTGGGGGGGGGGTTACTCTAGAACAGTTAACTAGGGGTGGGATAATGGACAAAAAAGCTATTCCCCCCCACTCCCCATTACACCAGTGCCATATTTACAATGGACTATGGTGGAATGTTACAGCTAAACCAGGGCCCATAAAAAGATGGCCCCCATAATAAATAAATTAAGACTGCAATTAAAATATGCAGGAGAAAAAATTTTGTAGTATAAATAAAGTTATAACTAAGCAACAGTAAACCTTAATTTGCATCTTTGATTAATTTATGTCATTTAAGTTAAAATGCTATGTATCAAGGCAAGAAATCAATGGAATAATAGGAGTTTTTCATACAAATAATTTACATTATTTGTATGAAAAAGGTACATATACACAACATGTATTAGAATGTATATGTACCCGATATTATACAGTTCACTATCATTTTTATTGTGAATTATATATATAGTACATGGGGTACTGTAATCTTTTCAGTACCTGGGGCCTCTAAGGTCTTAATCCAGTCCTGGGTGGAAGGGTAAGGGGGAGTAGTTAATGGGCGAGAGTCAGGGGATGAGTAAGTCTTTCACCTTGAGAGAAGAAAGAAATGGTGTGTGAAGACAGTACAGAAGGGGGCAGCAAGGAGAGAGGTGGGGAAGCGAGTCAGCTGGAAGTGGAAAATGTGGCTACAGTGGTCAAGCAGAGCACAATCCTGTAAACAGTAGTCCGAATCATCTGCTTCATTAAACACTAGAGTATGAAGAAGTAATTAACCAATACCAAATTACCTTATTCCTACTAATTCTCTGGCAATAATCCCACTCAATCTCTGTCTCCTCACCCACCTTGTCTGCACATCATCATCTTTACCATTCTTCTCATACCTCTATCCCTTACATAAATTTGCAAATGTAGAATACAATGCAGGTATTGTATACAAGTATTTGTAAAACAGCAAAGTCTACATCAATAAAGTAATTAACGTAAAATTTGATATAAACTATAAATGGCAAAGAATACTTGTATTATCCACCATATTAACAAATGCCAAATATTAACATAAAGTCCTGGAGCCAGAGTAATCTACTGGGGAGTTCAAACTACTTGAGAGTTCTTACTCTTAATCTTTCCACATTTCCAGAATTATAGTGTAACCAAGTTTCATTAATGACGTAGTTAATAAAAAGTATTTGTATTTAAGAATTTGTTGTATTATGACAATATATTTTTGTCTTGAAAGCAGGAAATTCGTTTACAATATTTATCTCTAAATTATCCCAGCAACATTAGTATATAAAAGATAGATAAAAGATAAAAGATAGATAAAAAAATTCCCACACTTACCTTGTATCCCTTAAAGTGTCCTCTGATTGATTCATTTGATACAGGTTCCCAAGACAACAATGCAGTAGTTGCATCCCTCAAATCAACCAGAGTCAAATTCCTTGGGGCTTCTGTCGGAACTGTACAGAGAATTTGAAGCAACAATTAATAAACTATCATTATTTGCAAAAATGGTAAGCGGGGAAGGATTATTAAGCATTGACTGTACTGACACGCTCTTTCCTGGTGGGCCATTGATAACCTCCAGAGCTTAAGCACTGGTACAAACTGTAACCAATCACACATCACACCAGGCCTCTTAGATCCACTCATGCCCAGGGGAAGCCACGACCAGAATCTGACTCGCTCTACAGAGAGTGGGGAGCTTGAGGATTGCAGATCCACCTGGGGTCTCAACCAGCCCATGATATATAATCTAATCTTACAAAGCAGTCATATAATCAAAATCCTATTACAGTTTTGCATCGCATACTGTACTTCAGCTGTACCTGCATTACATACCTAGAGTGGGTTTTGAGAGCAGTTCTACTTCACTTGCCTGGAACATACCGGGAGAGTTTCGAGAGTTGTTCCACTCCCCGAGCGCGGCCTAAGGCCAGGGTCAAGTGGCTTCAACAGCCAAAAGTTAAGCTTGACCTGGTGCCAGGCTTATAAACCTATTGCATCAAAAAGTTCCCAGAAAATTTTCAGATCTTGTTCCTTTATTTTGACTACATTTCAGTCACATGTAAATGGGTTTGCTTTCTGGGTCCCAAGCAGGTGTAGTCCCCACAAGTATAACTGAACAATACTTTTGGTGTAGAGGAACTAGAGAAAGGGAAATGTGAGGCAGCCTGCACTATACAGTGGTGGGCAGTTTACTTGTCACATCCTAAGGGCAATATCAATAGAATGCAAACAAATTCAAGGAAAAACAGATCCAGAATTACCAAAAAAAATTACAATGATTCAAAAACTTTTGTCAGATTGATTTTGGGCACATGCATACAAAAGAATTTAATGAATCAACAATGTCTAAGTTAACAACAATTCAAATATTAGGGTAAAAAACATGTCAACACCGTCTCTCTACATATAAGGGGAATAATGGCTGACCTCTCACTGTGTTCAAATAATTTGATAAACACCTCCAAAGGATATCTGATCAACCAGGCTGATATACATACGTTAAGCTGCGAGCAGCCGCATCCAACAGCCTGGCTGACCAGACCACCAACTAGGTTTGGTTAGAGACCAGGCCTTGGGAACATTTTATCCTCACAGCCAATGCAAAGTAACCGTAAAGTATGTAATTAAAAAATACTTTAGAAAATCAAAATGACTGGGTTTAGTAAAATAAAGAAGGAAAAAAGAAAATATTTGAATGGAGACGTACCATCTTCACCAGACCAGCCAACAATTTCAGGAGCAGCAACGTGTGCTTGGCCCCTCTCATTGTGAGCTTCCACTTTGATTCTGTATGGTTTAAATGTGGGTTGGTTTGGAATGACGTAGTGGTCCTGTTGCCAATCCACAACATCTTCTGTTTGCCATCTTGAATTCTCAATATCGTCACGCTTCCAATAAACTCGATACTTGAATCCTGGTCCATTGTGTTCAATTTCTGGCATTTGCTGGAGGGATGAAAAGTAATTGTTAGACAACTTGAGATATATTTTAGAAAAATTAACATTTCGATGCTTCACTACTGAAACAAATCACAGATTATAAATCCCACAGATAACTTCTCTAAATAGTCTTTATCTTGCTTCACATTTTAGTCATTGCAGTATAGTAAATAATGAAAAAGTTGCATAGCAAAAGATATCAGTAACAAGAGGGAACAGCTCGTATAACTTACCGACCACTTAATTACTAAGTTCTGTGGAGAAGAGCCTTTACCCTCGACCCCATCTGGATTTTTGTAGGGAACATCGTGAGGTGTTGTACACATGTCAGAGTGTTGTGATGGCTGTGATGGTCCAATAGCATTACGAGCAATTACCCTAAAGGTGTAGTTTGCCCATGGACTTAAATTAATCTGAAATTCAATCACAATGTTAAAAAACTTTGACATCTAAAAGCATGCAATTTACTTATTCAAAAGATATGAATTTGAATGGCAATTTAAATACAATATACCCATCAAGCATAGGGCATTTGGAAATTAAAATGCTCATTTCTCATATTTTTTTTTTATAGTTGCTGCAACAGAATTAACTTACAGTAAACTGTGTGCTAGTGGCAGGGACAGAATCAAAGGCATTCTCCCAGGTTTCAGGTGTGAAGCTGGTGTTGTACTGAATAACATAACCCAGGATAGGAGCTCTGTTGTCTCCCATGGGCTGCCACTCAACGCTTGCATCACGATCATTGCAAATCACCGGTAACAGTAATTGTGGAGGGTTTGGCACATCTAAGGAGTAAACAGAACAAACAAAATCATTTACTGAAATAAAAAGTTAAGAGAAATGATTAATTGCTAATAAGAAGAAATTATCTGTAAACAAGAATTAATGAACCATGCAGAATACAATAATTAAACATTAACATTAAATATTTTACAAATTATTAGTTTATATTCACTAAAAGCTACCACTAGAATGAATACTTTTATGCAAAGCATACATGTAAACCCAAACTTTCTTAAAACCAATTTCATTTACCGAGAGTACACGGTTACCATTGAATACGAATTATAGAAAAGCTTATTACATTGCTAAATTAAGTGCTACAATACTTAGCCTGGTATACAAGATGACCAACCAAGAGGCCTGGTTGGAAACTAAGGCACAGGGCCTTTCATCTCCAGAACCTCCACAAGGTAGCCACAAGGTAGGTTGCCACTTAAAACTTTATACGACTAACGACTATTAAACTCCAAAGTAACTTCCATTTAAATTTTCTGAAATTTGTATTATGTATTCAATATATACATGCAAAATACATTAAGCTTTCTATTATCTCCCATTAAAACATACCATTTGAAAACCCTTTTCTCATTCGTGTTACCATGCTTAAATGTGCACAAAATTGGATATCTTAATCCAATTATAAATCTATTAACTCTTAATTCTATTAAAAATCTTTTCCCTATAGTTCCTTTTTGCTGAGGAAAGGAATCTTTAATAACATTTAGGCATATGTCAAGGTCCCCCACACTAGGTAGAACTACTGACCTTTTCTAGGATGCAACCAACAACAGTTAACTAACTCCCAGATACCTATTTATTGCTAGGTGCACAGAGATCAAGTGTAGGCAAACGAGCCCATCAATGTGTGTTCCATCCAGGGATTAAACTCAGGCAGAGAGCATTATTCTTCAGGAATGATATTTCACATGTTGAGGCACAAACCTACAGCAATTAATATCAAATTACATCAGTTACAACTCTTATGACTGGGTTATTGCTACTTAAAACAAAACAAAAAATAGAAATATTGTTCTGCATCAAATTACAAGAAAGATCACAGGCCCTCTAGCAAAGCTAGAGTTAAGCACCTTACCCTGAACAATGAGTGTGGCTGAAGCTGTAACTTTGTCCAACTCTGTTGAAGCAACACAAGTGTACACGCCAGAATCCAGTTCTGTAGTCTTGGTGATGCTCAGGGAGAAGTCAGACTGCTGTACAAATCGTGGTTCTTGCTCAAAATCAATAAGCTTGCCATCAGTAAGCCACTCGATACTAAGCTCCAGATCATTGTCAGTCACAGCATTACACCTGTGCAGAGTAAACGTTGATATAATCAACGAAATAATGAAAAACTTAAAATATTCCACAATACAAAACAATCATTTCAAAAGTGACAGAATTCTAAAACACCAATTTGTATATTCGTTAGTATTCCACACAATTTATGATCCATTATAGAATATATATATTTGCTGAGAACATAATGCAATTTATGAAATTAGAACATTTTGAAAAGGGAAAACTTTTTGTGGTAGTAGTAAAATGGTAGTAAATAGTACTAAAATAGTAAATAGTAGAATAGTAGTAAAATAGAATAAACAGCACACCTGAATGTTGCAGTTTGACCAGCAGGAACTTCATAATCTTGAGGTGCATCTGTAATGCGCGTGTGTTCCTTCACTACAAGCGATCCACTCTCCTCCTGCTTCCCAAATTTATTTACCGCAACACAAGTATAATCTCCGGAATCCGTAAACGAAACATCTCTGTGGAAAAATGTTTGCAAATGTACTTTACTTGGAATATGGCTTCATTATAAATCTGCTTTGCAGCTTAAATTGGTTTTGCTTGTTTGTACTTATATTAATTGTTTAATAACTTTTATTATACAAATTCTATTAATGTTCTGATAAAGCTTTTGCTGTATGTTTCACAGATGTAGTAAGATCCATAAATTTAAGTAAACATTTCTACCTCCTTTATACAAAAACTTTGACAGTAATTGGCATCATCTACTCTGAAACCTATCTACATAAAAAATATTCATTAAAACTTGATTCAAATACCAATAAGATCAACAGAAAAAGATGCAGAAATATGATACAAACTTTATCACAAGATCTCCTTCACTTGTAACTTGGAAACGTCCACCAGTCAGTTCAACTTCGTCCCTGATCCAAGTGATACGAGGCTTTGGTGCACCAAATACTCGACAGGTCATGTTAACTTGCTGTCCATCGACGGACTGGATGTCGCTGGGAGGAACACGGATCTCGGGAGGCAAGGCTGCAGGTGAAAGCGTGTATTAAAAACAGCACTTTAAATATCTAAAAAAGTCAAAGATACATCAAGAGAGCTCATACTTTGTGCAGTGTATAACCAATCTGTATTATACTATCAGCCCCACATATACTTTAAGAATACATGCACAACACATTAACATAAGTTATGGCTAATGAACAACTATTTACCCTTTACATGACTAATAGTTTCCTTCCTACTCTCAAATCATTATATGTACAACTGATCCTTATCAGTTCCCAATACTTTGCTTTTCTATATGTATCTCAACTTTTAAATAGCTTAGCCATTCAAGGATTAAACTTGGTACTTATACTAGTACTAATTTCATGAAAGGGATGAATCTGTACAGTGATAAGTAGGCTCTGGATATGAATTAAATATGGATATGAGCAGAACAGCTCATATAAATTTGTGTAATTTACTGTACATGGATATTTTGGCCAACAAAACTACTTACGTTCTATTCACAGGCAAAGTATCCAGATTCAGTTCGTGCAGACACAAAGATCAGGGAGTGCTATTTTCTCGAGAACAAGAACTATTCGAAACCCTGGACTGGATATCTCAGCCAAGGGTTTTAAATAGCAGTGGGGTTGGGCCTTTAGTAAGAAATGATCTATTCCATTAAAAATCAATTATGTATTTTTTAAATGGCTCAAACAATGCCAATAATAATTTGGCAAGGGCTTCATGAAGACATACAAGGAAGCAACAGCATGTTGTGCATATTCCCACACATAGAGAGACCTTTGTTATACAGGTTGAAGAGGTTATATCCTCCACAAAAATCAGTTATTGCATGTAATAAGTTATACATCCGAACATCCATGGTAAGTGGCATATTATGCCGGCAAGTTTAACTATTCAAAAACTACGCTGTTGCTGAAACTGTCGACAGACTGAGTGATGCAAGATACAGGAACTAGATGAAGCACTTCAGGGCTGATATGAGCACAACAACAAAATTTAAATCAATGAACATCAATCTAAACTTTTATTTTTATTTAAAACCATGGTATTTTTGTGACCAAAAGTTTATGCTCATTGCCAAGCGTGGGAATTGTGAAGATCAAGGCAATCAAGGCAAGTGTTGTGCTACAACTTGAAGTATTATAAAGATCACAATTAATAGTGAAAATATCAAAGATCAACTATAAAATTTTCTACAACTGCTAAAAACACAGTACATGATTTAACAGTCGTTCAGATATACAGTACTGCAAATTAAAAGAATTTAATGCATGTTTACCCCACAACATTCATTTATGCAAGAGACTCTAGTAGGCCCATATATAATAAAAAAAGAGGCTGACCCTTCTATGTTGTGTACCTGCAGTCGACAGATACAAATTGCTTGTTGTATCAGTAGGTAAAAAGGTTCATACCTTGGGGTATTAATGATATAATCATCTTTATCTATAAGGCAGAAATGTTTAAATCAGCTAACTGATAATTAGAATGATTTTATACATCTTTTGTTCCTGGAGTTGTGATAACATTGAAGCCAACGAATGTCTAGACAACACCACCACCATGACGCCCACTATCCACCACGAGGTGTGTGGCTCCGAACCCACCAGTTCCTCGTTGGGTCTATCAACTGCCAGTTACGCTGCCGGCGACTCGTTAGCCCACCTTGACAAAGGATGTGATGTCACTACCGGGGGTATAACTAACTGTGACCTTGGTCAGTGCATCAGTCTCTCTCAGTTGCTCGGGGATTAAACATAACGGCCTCAACGCGACGCATGCCTCCAGACACTTCGTGTACAGGTTGTAGTGTTAACGTGTAAACATTTGCAGCGTCTCCCTTATTTTTGTGTTAACGTAAGTTTGTCCATATGTCTAGCTTGTTATTAGAGTAAATTGTCATAATTTTTAGTTTAAGTATTCCTTCCCTCCTGTGAAGAAATACTTCTGTGCCATTTTCACACAGCAAAGGCCATGCAGTTGCAGGCGATGAGTCACAATAACGTGGCTGAAGTAGTTTGACCAGACCACACACTAGAAGGTGAAGGGACGACAACATTTCGGTCCGTCCTGGACCATTCTCACTATCTACTTGAGAATAGTCCAGGACGGACCGAAACGTCATCCCTTCACCTTCAAGTGTGTGGTCTGATCAAGCCAATGCAGTTGTTTTAAATAATGAGAAGTTTGTGCCACATTCCATCTGCCCGTTATCACGTCACAATGTGTATACAAAGGAGATAGCGGTAGTAGTAATAGAGTACACATAGAAGAGATGTACAGCAATTAAATAAAAAAAAAAGTAACATTTAAGGCTAGAATTGAGTTTGAAAATATATAATCACCCAAAGTCTATGCAGGTTGGAAAAAAATAAAGGTCAAAACCATGACTTTTACCATGATAATGCCGTCATTCTATACATTTCGTAACAAGAATAAATTAATAAATTATGTAAACTTACCAAGAAATAAATTAATAAATTATGTAAACTTACCAAGAAATAAATTAATAAATTATGTAAACTTACCAAGAACATTGACATACACATCTTTGTATACATATCCATGTTCATTTGAAGCGTTACAACCATAGTTTCCAGTATCTGCCTTAGTCAGGTTGTAAATGGTAATCTTATTGCGTTCTACAATACGATTAGGATTATGGGGTGCCTTCTCAACAGGCATGCCGTTGTAAATCCAGTATTGCTTTGGAGGAGGTTTGCCAGCAGATTCACAGTGAAATACTGCAGTTTCTCCTTCAGCCTTGTTTTCTACCTCTGGCTCCTTTTCAAAGTACGGGATAGCTGAATAAGAAAGATGAAGTAATCAATAATAAATTGTATTTACTGACAAATGTGTATGTACTAAGTGTGTAACATGCCGTGTTCTAAGGTGAGGCCCTGCTAAAAATTATGAATTTGACAGCAATTGCAAAGAAGGAAAGGTAATGTTACTGTGTTTCAGAGGAGAAATGGTGGTCGCTCTTGTGCATCTTGTAGGTGCCACCTATAATGCAGCATGGCAATGATTTGACAATGAAATGTAGGATAAAAGTGGGGTAAGAGATACTAGAAGAGGTAGGACGTTTTAAATATGGTAGGGGCAGTGGTAGATAAGTGTGGAAGGAGAGGTGATTAGTATAATGAAAGGAATGAATGAATGTATTAGAGTTAAAAAAGGAGAGAGATGCAGTATTATACTATTCCTAGCTCTGACATACATAAGTGAAACATCCGTATGTATGTATGTCTTAAAAGTACAAGAAATGCAAGAAAGTTTTTTGTAGCCAAGTAACTTGTGTAAGCATGTGGGATGGATACAACAATGAGGAAAATGAGAAATATGTTATAATACGTTTTTGCCAAGGACAGCAAGCCTGTGGTAATTTTTATAAATGAACATTCAATAATATTTGGTTCACTAATTGATTTACAATCAACAATTTGGTATGAATTAGTCCACTCAATTTAATGATTACAATTTCTTAACTGAAGAAACAATGCATTGGTTTTTTTTACCTGTCCTTGTACTACAATACTGTATATAAATTTCTGTCCTCTTATTATCTCGGTCAAAATGTTTACTTGTTTAGCCAATATAGAACTAATTACAACATTTACATGGAACTTTACATACACAACCACTTTGGGAATTCTGAACCTGTGTTTTGGGTGTAGGGGGGTTCTATATCCCCAAACCCATTTCTTCTGTATGTATTCCTTTATAATACCTTGAAACATGAAAACGTTCAGAATTTGTTTCACTTTCCTATATGAATATTTACTCAAATATATACTTTGTGTGATTGTGTATATATACACAGCAAAAAGAATGACAGAGAAATTTATTAACAGCAAAAATCACTACAAAATTAAAATAACTACAATAACAATTTGGTCTATCATAATGATATTCCAGTAAATGTGTGAATGTAACAGAAGACATACATACCTTGCACTTCAACATTCATGGAATAGGATTTGGCAACACCAACGCCATTGCTTGCCTCACATTCATAATTGCCTTGATCTTCAAAATCCACATAGCGAATTACAAGTGTTTTGCCATAGTTTTCATAATCAACTCTATCTTGTGGAAGTGGCGCCGGTTGAGAATTGTTGCGTTTTGTCCATCTCATTTCAGGAAGAGGTCTGTAAGGCACAAGTCAATATACACATTCAAAAGCAGTCCACAAATTACTTAAATGGCCTAAAATGATAATACTGTACCTAAATATTGAATAAAATTCTTTAAGCATGCATGTATATGTATGTACATGTGTATGTACATTTATGTATATGTGTACACACACACACACACACACTACAGTACTAGGTGGTGGTACCAGGCATTGCCTGGGTCTGTCTCTCCTATCTATCCATCCATCCACCTGCCTATTCATCTATTCCTCCATCTATCTAGTCATCCAAACATCCACCTATTTATTGTCTATCATCTATCCATCTTTCCATCACTCAACCCATCTATTTATCTATCCATCCACCCATTACTCGTCTATCTATCCACCTATCCATCCATCAATTTTTCCTTCCCATTACCTCACGACCCTACCTCTTCCCTTCACCTTCCCCACCCTCTGCCCCCTCACCTTGTCCTTCCCACTTTCCCCTCCAGCCCTTCCCCTTGTCCTCCCTCCCCCCCTTCATCATCAGCCTCCCATATCAACCTTTCTCCCCCCTTCCACCCTTCCACTCGGGGCCTCGTAGCCTGGTGGATAGCGCGCAGGACTCATAATTCTGTGGCGCGGGTTCGATTCCCGCAAGAGGCAGAAACAAATGGGCAAAGTTTCTTAATCCTGAATGCCCCTGTTAGCTAGCAGTAAATAGGTACCCGGGAGTTCGTCAGCTGTCACGGGCTGCTTCCTGGGGGTGGAGGCCTGGTCGAGGACCGGGCCGCGGGGACACTAAAGCCCCGAAATCATCTCAAGATAACCTCTCAAGATCCCATTATCCTTTTCCCATCCCCATCTCTCCCACTTCCCCAATCCCGCCCCCTCTCCTCTTTTTCATAAGATATATCAAGGAGCAATGAAACTACAGTACTTTGTGTTTCAATAATCACACACATACACCATACATACGTACAGGAATCTATACACCAGTTGATCGACAGTTGAGAGGCAGGACTAAAGAACCAGAGCTCAACTAAGTGAGTACATATATACCACACATGCTACCAAAATAATTACCCATATGACCTGTCTTAGCTACATTAAAGTTCCTTCCAAATATACAAATCATGTATACATCAAAAGTACAATAATGTACACCTTAAAAATGTGCAAATCTTAAAGAATTTCATTTGCTCATTGCTAAATCCTTTGTAATAAAATTTTTTACTTAAAGGAACCTGGTTGCCATTAAAAAACCAGACTAAAGAATAATAAACAGCCATAAGATAAACTTTTATGTTATATAAAGTGTCATTTTAGAACTGGCATTTACTGCATTTGGTGTTGGCTTTGGACAAGGCTTATAAAAAGCACATCCAAAGTGAAGCATCATTAAGTATAGGCATGTTTTGTGTCGCTTTTCTTCACATCCTTGTCGGTAATTTTGGCTTTATGTTCACACACACTTACGTTCCACTGAAGATGCACCAAAGTCGTAACGTTTTGCCTTTCAATATGTTTGTGTTCTTGCGAGACTTGAACTGTTCTTTTGGTTCATTCTTAGTCTGAACAGCTGTGCTGCCACTCTGGTACACGCGAAGGTATACCCTATTTCCCAACTTGTACTCATTGCGGAATGTTGAGGTTGCAGAACACGCATAAGTGAAATCATTGGATTCATCAAAGCGAGTGACATTTGAGAACCAGAGTGTGCCTTCGGGGTCAACAGTCATTCGTGAAGAATTGATGCTACGTAGTGCACCTCGGTCATCCTGGTAAAAAGAAATTTATTATTACAATTATTAAATTTCATAACTACAGTATATCTCTCTCAGTATATATAATCTCTCTTACCATATTAAACCCATAGAGGTGATTTGCAGATTTTTGCTCCCAATTAGAACAAGTTTTAAATGGGTGAAAATATTACTGTATGTGTACTGTACACATGGCCAAAAGTAATTCAGAACTCAAGTCAATTTCAGAGCCTTTACACAGATGAATTATTTGACCTACTGTTATGAGAACACATACAAAGGCACTAACAAATTACTGGTTATACATATACAACCGAAAACTCCTCACCCCTGAAGGACTCGACCCCAGATGTATGAGGTCTGGGGGCTCCATGCACCTCAAGTGTGTCCAGTACTTTACCTACTACACCACAATGACTTAAAAGGATTGGAAGTCGTCAGACTCTTAACCCAACCCCCAATAGCATTTGGCTGTTGGAGATTGTGCTTAATTTTGGGGACAGATATTTAATCTAATCTCCAACAGCCAAATGCTATTGGGGGTTGGGTTAAGGGTATGACGACTTTCAATTCTTTTAACAGTCGTTATGGTCTAGCGGGTAAAGTAGTGGATACGCTAAGGTGCATGGAGTCCCTGGATACATAGTACATGGATTCTCGCCGTTAGAATAGAAACACACACAGTACAGTATAAATATGTATAGTATAAAGAACCCATGAATCCAATTATAACCAAACTGTACAGTGCAGTCATTCTGTTTATGATTTTTCTTACCTGAATCATCCAATAAACATAGGGTTTGGGGTAACCATCTGGAGGCTGGCAGGCCAAGCCAACAGGATCGCCTTCATTTACAGTTTCAGTCATTGGATCCTCATTCTTGAAACTATTCAACTCTGATTTGCGGACAAACACAGAGTTGGAAGTGGCCGTACCCATCTCATTGGTGGCAAAACACTGATACTGACCTGTTGAGAGAAACAAGCAAATTAAAAACTTAAAAACTCGTGTAGAAGTACAAACTATACTATTTGTAACATTTTGCCCTAATAATAAGTTTGCTGCTATCAAGAGGCCATTTACAGGTACATATAAACATAACCATGCATTCTTTAGGACATTGGTAACACATCTCGGGACAAGGAATCGCCAGAGAAGTAACGTGCAGAATACATACCCAAATCTTCATCCCTGGGCGAGGTGATAACTAGTGTACCTCTGCCTGGCTGCTGTGAGATACGATTGTCATATGTTTGCCAGGCAAAGTCTTTGCCATTTTTCATCCATCGATACCTGTAAATGCAATTTGCTCTTAAGATAAAATTGTATATATGATACAAATACTGTATAGCTATGCAAGACCTTACTGATATACTGTACAATAAAGTACTAGAATTAATGAAAATATCCAGTATTAACAAAACAAAAATATGCACAGAATGTCACAAAACAATAATTTAATGAAAATTATAGTACACAGTATTTCCATGTTATGTTTCACTAGATGGAGAGCTTACATCTAATGTTAAACCACACACAACTAGAGGCAAAAAACCTCATGAGAACTAGAGCACTTTGTTTTATACAAGATTAAATAATACTAGATTTGTTCTATTTTATAAACAATAAACCATCCATTTCTCAGGTAATAAAATTTGTATAGACTAACATTCTACTGTACTAATATTTATGAAGAACTCTTCAACATGATAAAAAAATTTGGTGTATATTTTTATGCAGACCTAAATGGATTGTTACAGATAATTCTTGCCAAAGTAACAGTTTCAACACATTTAAATCCAAAGAGTAAGAACATACTTAGGTGCAGGTTCCCCCTCGGCCTCGCACTCTATGATGAAGGGCTTATCACTCTCGTCCTGCCTAGAGGCAACCTGGAAGAGGAGTTCCTCGTTGGAGGGCGGTTGCTTGGTCATCATGGGTGGGTACTTTATGACAGCCTCACAGGTCACAGCCACCCACACCAGCACAATCACCGCCCGCACCACGCCCGGGCCCCATAACCGCGTCTCTAACATCACGCCCTCGCCCTCACACCACCTGAAACAAACCTTACGATTATTACCGGCACTGTGTCAGTATATTTCTAACAGCATTATACAGCTATTTTAATTTATACAAACGTGAACCAATAAAACAATATTAAATAATTTCCCTGCAAATTTTTAAATATATGTGTCATCCTCATTTCTAACAGACAAGAACATAAGCTATACTGTAGTATCATATCATCCTTTGCAGAAAGAGGACAAGCCGAGCCTCCAATCTGATGTTAATCACGTCTTTCAATGGACCATAGAAAATAACACGTTTAATTAAAATAAGTTCCAGCTCCTACACTATGGAAAAAAAATATAAAAACAAACCGCATATAAAATGTAGTCAAATCCCAATGTAGAACGAAAAGTAATATAAAAGATTTAGGAGTAATCACGTCTGAAGACCTTACTCTTAAAGAACACAAAGTAGCTGTCACAACTAAGATTAATTACTTGATAGATAACAAGAACCTTTCAAACAAGAAATGCTATACCAATGATGATACTTTTAAAGATGCTAGTGCTCTCTAGGGTGGAATATTGTTGCCTCATCAAAGCTGGAATAACTGTTGATCTGGAATGAGTAAAGATCCTTTACTGCTAGAATTCACTCAACAAAACTAACATTATTCAGACTGATTCAAAATTTTTAATCTATATTCCCAGGATCGTCCCAAAAGATGCATAATTTATGTGTGTAAAAACTCAATGCTGTGTTACTTGTATGAACAACAATATTGAGATGCACTGTAATGAACTACATAAAGATTCACAAGATGCAAGTTATATAGCTTGCATTACCAAGCAAGTAAATTAAGATCTGAAAAGCTTCCTTTAGAGCTGTCGCCAGGACGCTGCTCTGGTATACGTACAAGGAAATTGTGGCCAACCCGTCCTCAGGCTGCAACCCGTTCTCGCAAATTTAGTAAGTCAATATTGACTTATTAGTTGCATGCATAGGTGACATACTAAACATAATAGTTTCCCTTCAAAATTTTCATAGAAAACACCGACCTTACCTAACCTACTTAGTATGTTAAAATAAGCATCTTATAGCTTCGTAATTACAATTGTTACTTAACCTATTATAGGTATAGGTTAGGTAATAATTGTAATTATGAAGCAATAAGATGCTTATCTTAACATACTAAGTAGGTTAGGTAAGGTCGGTGTTTTCTATGAAGCTTTTCAAGGGAAACTATTATGTTAAGTATGTCACCTATGCACATATTTAATAAGTCAATATTGACTTATTAAATTTGCGAGAACGGGTTGCAGGCTATGTTCATTCCATTCAGCGGCTGACCCAATGATGCATTAATCAATTTGAACAATCTGTTCATTAAAAAATTTGGAATTTTCTCAATTAAATATTGTTATTATATATTAGCGTATTGTGCATATTTAGGCATAAGTTAGGCTAATCTAAGTGTTTAGGTTCTGTTTGCATTTTTTGTATTTCAAAGGTACACTTTGATTGAATATCAAAGAGCAACACTGATTCAAAGTTGAATTAACAGTGATATCCATTCTTGGATATTGTGCCCAATAGATCTGTCCTCTCATCACTTACAAGTGCTGCATAGCCATACCCAGTACTTTTCCAAATAGTATCAATATTCTGTCCAGAAACAGAACCAAAAAAAAAAAAAAAAAAATGGACAAACTCCAAAGTTACATCCTTTAGAGAGGACCCAATAAGCAGAATATAGAAGCAAATGGTGCGGGATACGAGTCTTGCGTCACGAACACAGTGAGTGTACCCTGACATGAAGCAACGTTCTAATGCACACAGATAAATGTGCAGATACTAGCCCACGCCCCCCACACACTCCTGAAGTGATCCTGCCATATATATATGCACTCATTTCACTCTGTAAAAAGAGCACAGATTGCAAAATACTTTATGCTATATATAGCAAGGCGACACTTACACCCTCAACCCCACTTAACGCTTGCACCGAGTGCGTTAAGCCACACCACCTTCCTGCTGTCTGCCACGTGACCACTCAACTGTGGGATGCAGGTCGAGAAAGGTGGTGACCAGAGGTGACCACCACTGGTGGGCGGTGGTGGGGGGGAAAGGCGAGGTTGTGGAGGGTGGTGGTGGGAAAGGGGGTGAGCATGTTGAGGGGTAGTTGTGGAAACTAAGAGGGGCGGGGGGCCATTGTTGTCTTGCCAATATTCTGAGTTCGTTGATGTCCACTTGGGGCCTCGACCCCAACTACATCAATATACAGGCAAGAACAATAACATCCCTTTTGAGGTGCTTAATAATGCACAAACAGCAAGGCCCTATCAAGGAACATATGGTCTTTATACCGCACCAGATATCCCCCAGAGATACTTACAAATACCACCAAAATGATCGACAGATGCAGCGACAACAGAAGACTGGACATTGGCAAGGTATTTATACATCAAACAACTCAAGCCATCTATCAACAGCTAACTAGCACTAAATTACACTACCAACTACGAGAACACGACGTAACATTCAACATACTGCCCCAGCCATTATGGAAACAGGCAATTGGCAAGATATAATGGACCTACTGGCACAATGTGAGGCGAAGGCGATTGATAGATAAAGATTAAGCCACCCAAGAGGTGGCACGGGCATGAATAGTCCGTAAGTGGGGAAGGCGATTGATTGATAAAGATTAAGCCACCCAAAAGGTGGCACGGGCATAAATAGCCCGTAAGTGGTGGCCCTTTTGAGCCATTACCAGTATCAATAGATGATACTACCGACGAAAATCGGTAGGGAAATTAATTCGGCGGAGGACTCACTATCACTTCAAGTTGATCTAGATAGGGTTTTGAAATGGTCAAAGGATTGGCAGATGCAGTTTAATGCTGATAAATGTAAAGTTCTGAGGTTAGGTAATGATGATAGAGTTACAAGATACGAGCTAGATGGTGTTGAGATTGCGAAGTCGGATTGCGAAAGGGATCTGGGAGTTATGATTAGTAAGAATTTAAAACAAAAGGATCAATGCATAAATGTTCGTAATAAGGCAAATCGGACACTTGGATTTATTAATCGCAGCGTTAGTAACAAGACACCTGGTGTGGTTCTTAAGCTATATCTTGCTCTAGTTAGGCCCCATTTAGATTATGCAGTTCAGTTTTGGTCGCCATATTATAGAATGGATATAAATTTACTTGAACGTGTCCAGCGTAGGATGACTAAGTTAATTCCCCAAATTAGAAATTTTTCATATGAAGAAAGATTAACAAAGCTTAAGTTGCATTCACTGGAAAGGCGAAGAGTTAGGGGTGACATGATAGAGGTTTACAAGTGGGTGAATGGACATAACAAAGGGGATATTAATAGGGTATTAAAAGTATCAACACAAGACAGAACACGAAACAATGGGTATAAATTGGATAAGTTTAGATTTAGGAAAGACTTGGGTAAATACTGGTTCAGTAACAGGTTTGTTGATTTGTGGAACCAATTACCGCGTAACATTGTGGAGGTGGGGTCCCTCGATTGTTTCAAGCGCGGGTTGGACAAGTATATGAGTGGGATTGGGTGGTTATAAATAGGAGCTGCCTCGTATGGGCCAATAGGCCTTCTGCAGTTGCCTTTGTTCTTATGTTCTTATGTACTGGAGATATGTGGAGGTGCGACTGCACCAAGCGTGACGGGATATGTCTCCCGTGAGGGGAAGGCAAAGCGTCCCCGGCTATATATCCGTCAGCGGTAAATTTTGTACATTGTGGGCTATTCATGCCCGTGCCACCTCTTGGGTGGCTTAATCTTCATCACTCACTTTGTAACCATTCGAACGCTGCCTTTGATAATGTTAACATGAATTAACGAAATGCATCTCTTGACGTCAGGCCAAATAAATTGTAAAAATGAAAACTGGAGTTTAAAGTTTATGAATCACAGCCTCACTGATCAGGTATCCATTGAAGGTGTTTATCATGTTTTCTTCTGAACACTTAATAGGTCGGCCTGTTATGCTCCTAATGTGTAGAGGGTTTTTGATGTTGATAAAGGGTTCTCAGTGTACCTATTGCACCTCTGCTTTTCAACTTGCCTATTTTGCACATCCTGCCATGCCTTCTAGTCTCGTGGGGTGTTATTTCCAGGTACAGATTTAGTAGAACCAATCATTCCAGTATTTTTCATGTGTAAATTATTATGTATATCTCCCACTGGAGTTCTAGGAAACACAGATTTATGTATTTTGTTGAGGGGATTCTTGAAGTAAAATATCTCTGCAAAATCAGTAACTACCACACCTTCATTTTTTCTTCTAATGCTTCCGTGAATTTGTCATTGTGGTCAAGTAACTGTGAAAAGGCATTATCTTCCCACTCTAAATCCATGTTGACCAGGATTGTGAAGGTCATTGTTCTCCATAACAACGTTTCTGCCCGAAACGCTTTGCGTAATAGTGGCTTTAGGCATTGTATGTACTAGCTCTTATCTATAAAGCCAACAAACTTTGTAAAATCTCTATGTATGTACCTTTGCCTAAATAAAAATTATTATTATTATTTATTATTATAATTATTATTATTATTATTATAAAACTAGAGATCTGAATCCTGATCACTCGTTCAAAAGACTATTATTGTATGTGATATTAGTTTGATCTATAATTTTGGGTGGGACAGTATGGCGTCCCATACCGCTCACGGGATGGGTATGGGACGCATAACGAATGACTAACGCGCTTTAGAAATGAGATAGGGAAGTATTGGTTTTGAAATAGGATTGTGGATCTATAGAATAGGCTACCAGGAACTCCCAAGTTCGCCCTAATAAAAGATTATTTCTTCCACGATTAAATTTTGGAAGTAAATGGGTCCGGGTGAGAGTTTAGGTAACCGTCAACCACAGTGGAGACCTACCACCACCCGGCCAAGTAATCACCCACCAACCGGAAGTGGTGGCCACACCACCTTCCCCCAGGGATGAAGGGAAGGGCAGGTAGGTAAGGGGAGGGGGGCGAGGGAGATTATCAACCCATCATTATG